GGTTTGAAGATTAAATGATACCTCATAATTTGTGTACTGTTTTACAAAAACAGTATGTTCCATCTGCTTCATCTATTCATCTGAGTGTCCTGCTAAGTTATTGTTGTCTCTTGTGAGCAGTGCTTCAATAAGCATGGAGGCTTAATATTTTTTTGGATTCTGATTTCAATTTTGCTTTTCCTGGTGTTAGTTAAAGTTGAGTTCAGGGTCCCACTATCCTTAATTTTAATAGTAGTTTGGATAAATACTGAGAACTATGGCTGCTGGCTTGTAAAGGAGTTCTAGCTTTAGCATTTTGCAAAACTACCTGTTCTTGTTTCCACAGCAGCAGCACCATTTTTATTGCCGTCCTGTGAATGGAGATTGCAGGTTCCCCCACATTTTCACCAGTGCTCATCTGCTTGGGGAACCACAAATTTAAGAGCAGATTTTTTTCCCCAATAGTCTCTATTCTTCAGAGAAGCATAACCAATAGACAATTCATACATCTATGTATGCATAGATTCACACATATATGTAGGGTTGTGGTAGAGGCAGAAACTTTGGTTCACTGTTACAATGGAATGGTCTCATTACAGAGACTGAAATACCCCAAGAGGTAGAAAGCAAACTAGAGACCCAGGAGAGCTGAGGGTACATATTGTTCCATGATGTGGGAAAATGTCTATATTCTGTCAATTATATTTTAAATAAATGCTGATTGGCCAGTAGCCAGTCAGGAAGTATAGGTGGGACAACCAGACAGGAAGTGGAGGTGGGTCAATGAGAACAGAGAATTCTGGGAAGAGGAAGCTCTGTCAGCATTTGTGACCTATCCACAGAAGAAGTGAAATATAACTGCCACGCCGAATAAGGTACTGAGCCATGTGGCTAATACAGATAAGAATAATGGGCTAATATAAGTTGTAAGAGTTAATAAGAAGACTGAGCTAGTGGGCCAATCAGTTTATAACTAATGTAGGCCTCTGTGTGATTTCTTTGGGACATAAAAATTGTAGGAACCAGGCAGGACAGAAAACCTCAGACAAGAGTGCCAGTCTGAGTTCCAGTCTCAGGGCAGGGGTGCATCAGTGTTCCAGATGTAAGACAGAGCTAGACTCTCCCTTCCTCTACCTTTGTGTTCTAATATTTTAGACTTTCATATACTGTCCCTTTCAGACCTTCAATGCATGGAAGGAGAGGCCATCTACATTACTCTAAGCAAAATCCTTTCATATACTCATTGAATGTCATTCTCTTACAGAAGAACTTTCAAAGATGCAGTCATAGTGTATAGCCAAATATCTGGTCACCGCTTATCTGGTTAGGCTGTTACAACAAGGTAATCATGACACTAGGCAGTTTAGTGTGGCAGAGGGCAGTATCTCCTGATGATGACGTACAAGCTTTTACATTTTTGCCTCAGAAAACAAAATGCTTTATTTCGGACTCTTAGAAAGTCATACTAGAAGCAAGCAAGAAATGTCCCTTGGTCTCAGAGAGAATTAAATTTCCAGTTTAGCTATTGATTTTGATGGCATTCAAATTTGTTCATGTTCTTCACACCGGCAAAGAGAAAGGCAGATATATTATGATATATGTAATTCTCTGGTACATAAACCAAATAATACTAATATCTACCAATATTTAAATATGTTTTTCTACACATTAATAGTTTTGATGTTATAACAGAGCTTCTTTTCAAGGCTTAGGATAATTTTTAATATTCAGGAATCTATGAAAGTACACATTACTTTATATACTGTATACATTGTTTCACAGTGGCTTCTCTGGCTCCTTTTCCTTGGTAGAATTGCCATTCCAATGAGACAAGTGTTTAGGAACTAGTTTTCCAGCTAGATTTTGAAGCCTGATAAAACTTTATAAGAGAAGGATTACTCTTGGTTGTTGGTCCCCATTTTAATTAAATGATGTAAAATGTTTTGGCAAACTGCCTTTTTGGACATTAGCAGTCACTGACTCTCAGTGCTTCCACCCACTAAATAACAAACATAAAAATAGTGACTATCAGCCTGGTATACAGAATGAGTTCCAAGAAAACCAAAACTGTTACACAGAGAAACCATGTATTGAAAAACAAAGACAAGAGAGAGAGAGAGAGAGAGAGAGAGAGAGAGAGAGAGAGAGAATAGTGACTATAAAATTGGTGATGTCAAAATATTTGTATCCTAATTTATCGCCATTCTTCATTTATTTCCCTCCACTGTTTGGTTACCCCTAAGTATAATCAGATAGTAAATGCAGGATAAGTGGCTGATTCTTGCTCATTATTACTGGTTTTCAGAGTAATAAGTTGATCCCTTAACATCCTTCAAGTGTAGCCAAAAAAAAGTTTTTTGTTTTAATGGTGTTCTGGAATAATCTTTTTGTGCACTGTAAAGATGTGTCTTTGCCAAGACATCTTCTGAATTATTTAGCAAAAAGCTAAACTGCCATTAGCTAGGCAGAAGATATAGGCAGGAGAGCCAGACAGAGAGCACTCTGAGAAGCAGAAGTGCTGAGATACCAGGGGACAAGAAGGAACAGACATTCAAGGAAAATATATTCCATTTATTTCAACACATAACTGCTGTTTCTTTACTGACTAACTGCCAAAGATGGCTTTGACAGCAAAAGACTGCTTTTTGCTTGTGTCTCTGTGTCTGTTGTTGTTTATTTTGATTAGCAATAAATTTTAATGAGAGGAACGTCAAGTTGGTTCCTGACTGCTTCTAATGCCCTCCTAGTGAACATGGATTGTATTCTTTCTTTGTGTTATCAGATGCTCCAGATTCACATTGTACAGGTCCTCCTTTAGACTTGGGAATTGATGTTTCTCTAACATTCCCTAAATATAAGCATTGCTAGTTGACCAATCAGTTGACTTAATAGTTCTTTTGTATTTAAGTTAAAAATAATAATTTCATGGTTCATGATGACAGAAGAGTGGTGTAGGAGGTTCTTTTGTTCATACGTTGCTTTCATTGGTTAATGAATAAAGAAACTGCTTTGGGCCTGATAGGACAGAACTTAGGTAGGTGGAGAAGACAAAACTGAATGCTGGGAACAAGGGCAGAGTGAAAGAAGCCATAGATCATCCCCCACACACACACCTGAAATGGACACCAGTTAGAGTTTATGGTAAGCCTCTGGCATGTGGCAATACACAGATTAATGGAGATGGGTTAAACTAATATGTAAGAGTTAGCCAATAAAAAGTTAGAGCTAATGGCCAAGCAGTGTTTTAATGAATACAGTTTCTGTGTGGTTATTTCGGGGGCTAAGCTAGTCGGGTGGCCAGAAATAGCAAAGGGACCCTCCTTGTAACACAATAGTATTTTAAGTTAAATTTCTGATTAAGTTGGCAAAATGATAAATAATTGAGTAATTATCTATATGTCTTAGTATTTTCTGTTGAAATCAGATGAAAAGATAGCTCATTTGAGCTTCAGGAAAAAAGGTTCAAGGCCTCAGGACTTCTCTCTCTTAGGTAGGTTGCATCACCATTCTGCAACATACATTCCAAAAATACTTAACTTATTGTCACAAAATTTAAGAAGTCAATGAATGACTACTAAGGGTGCTAAAAATACTCTGATATATTTTAGTTCCTGGCCTGCCACATTCCAGCTCCTTACAGTCTCAGAAGTTCTAATTAGTTAGCTAGCCTTCTAAGAATCTTTGACATAGGTGTGGCTTCTTCTGAATACTTCAGTTCACAGCTACTTAACAAAGTTCAGGCCAGACTACCTAACTTAGACTCTAACTCAAAATAAAAATAAGTGTTAAATAACTTGCTTAGTTTACTTTCCCTCCTTCTCTTGGAAAAGACTTTTTAAATAATATGCATGAAGATTATGAGATGATTATAAAAAACATTGTTAATTGGAACACACAGTTTATAAAAATATGTATATATTATGATTACAACAATATAAAAGTCATTTTACAATAAATATTAGGAAAAACTACAACAAAAGTTACCAGTGTATAGTATATTGGTGATTTCTTTGGTTATCCTTTCAATTTTGAAAATGTTCTATATTGCTAATCACATTGTCTTTGATATAAAAGATTAATTTTTAAATAATCTTTTATATAATCATACTTCTCATTCACAGTATTATGAAAACTTTGTATTTCAGAATTAAACTTTCTCAGTGCCCTAATATCTGACAAGCAAGGATCCTGAGTTGAATTTTTTGTTTTTGTTTGTTTACTTATTTTTGGGTTTTGAGACTGGATTTCCCTGTGTAGCCCTGGCTGTCCTGGAACTAGCTCTATAAGACCACCCTGGCCTCAGACTCACAGAGATCTGCCTGCCTCTGCCTCCCCAGGATTAAAGATGTGTACCACCCAAGAGAGAGGCATCAAATTTCATTCTTTTTTTTTTTTGTCTTTTTGAGACAAGGTCTTTCTGTATATCTCTGGCTGTTCTAGAATTCACTCTACAGACCAGGCTAGCCTCGAACTCTCAGATACCTGCCTGCCTCTGCCTCCTTGAGTGCTGGGATTAAAGGCGTGTGCCACCATCACCCAACCTTTCATTCCTTCTTTATCAGCATCATATCTTTCTTGCATTTCTCTTCCTGTTAAATTATCATTATGATAAGAAAATACAGTCCCCTGAGAGTGTCTCTGAAGACCACACCACAGTGCATAAGTGGTTATAAGTGGTCACTAGCTACAAAAGAAAATAGCTTGACTGTTTTATCTTTACATTTTCTATTGTTTTGGTGATCACGAGATTGTCCTGGGCAGCTACACATATTAAAAATCTAAGAGTGCAAAGTAGGTTGTTGTATTTAATCCCAAGAATAATTTGCTAAGGTGAAGATTATATTATCAAATTTCAGACGATAAAGGGGAATACAAAAAACTTTCTAAGACATAAATAGTAAAAACATAATTCAAATAAGCTTCAAAGGGATTCTAAATCCAAATCTACCACTCAAAATTCATATAGGGAGCAAGGGAAGACAAAAGTAGTCAGTTTTTCTTATAGACTTTCTCTCCAACAGTACCTTTTAAGTATCATTTATTAAATCTCTTTCATTAAAACAGTTTCACTTTCAAAAGTCACCAGCTGCATTTTATCAACATGGCTTGATCTTTTAGGTCAAGCACACTCTTGGCCTGGGCAACCTTTCTGCGATGTGCAAACTGTGAAGGAAGATGATAGTTGAGAGAGGCCTTTGTTGTGAGCTGGGAACAGCTGACACACCACAGGTCTTCCATGAGTGCAGTAGGGAAGCAGGTGCAGGAGAAGCTGGCTGGCACAGACGCCTTGAATTTCATCTTCTCTGATGACCTACTTGACCAGGTCATGACGGAGGTGACCCCATCTGTTGAATCGCGTGACTACTTTGTAGTCGTTCCTTAGATACATTGCTATCTAGAAAATTTCCTTGAAATCAAAAAGTTCAATATTCATGTGTATCATTCTGTGTATACAATTAGAAAAAGAATAAAATTTGATTGAAATACAATTTAAATCTTCAAGTAAGAAAAGAATGTGCATGACTTTGTTCTCTTCGATCTGGTTTCTAACCAAAGTGTAGCAAATAAAGTAATAGTGGCTATTTATGCTGTGCCACATATGTTGACTTACGATACCTCTCAGAGGAACCCTTAAGAGAACAACTGTGGGATTCATCTCTTCCCTAACACTCTCCTTGAGGAGACAATTCTCTTTAAACTCAGTTATGTCACAGCTGAATGCTTTGAGAACCTGCTAGAACTAGCAGACACAGTGTTATTAGTAAGCTAGAGAAAGGGGAGACCCCAGAGCAGCTATCCGCTTCTTTCGTTTCTCTACAATCAGCCCCTTCATAGCCCTGATAACAGTGGCATAGGAAGTTCTCTGCCATCCCCGCTAGGTCCGCCTCTGATGTTCTTCCCTTCACTACGAACTCTCCGTCCTCAGAGACGTCTATGCGGTAACTTGCGGGGTTCAAATGGAGGTAATGAGGTGCTTTCCATGTCTTCCGTATGCACCTCCCATTATTCTTGCAAAGGTGATGACTGCAGACCTCAACTGCTCTGGTCACGTTGATTATGTATTTCCCAAAATCCGAATTCACAAAGTGGTTGACCTTCGAACAGTTCTCCTGAGAAGGCATGAAAGCAATTGGATCAGATATTTTAGACCCAGAAGGCAGCTCTTTAGACTGGTCTAAAACTGGATGGCTTTGTCCTAGTGGGTAAGCTCTTGGACTCTACTGTAGCCCAAAGGTCTCCGATCAGAAGTGAGAATGGCCCTAGAGGCAGGAGATGTAACAGTAAGGCAGAGTAACTGAGTCAGCAAACTGGCCGGAGTCAACATGGAGGTCCTTGCTTTTCTTCAGTTCATGCATCTTTTCCTTCTAGCTCTCAAAGGCAATGAGTAGTGTGAGAAAGAAAGAAACACAAACAGAATCCACACCAGAGCTGCTGCTCCAGGCTGCCTCTCAGGGCTGGGTTGCTCTTTCTGGCTGAGTTAGAAAATACGAGTCGTCAAGCTCAGACGTACTGTAGACCCTTCCACCTAGAGCATTCTGGACTTCTCCTTTGCTTATACTTAAGCATAACCTGTTGCGGGTTCTACTCCTACACACAACCAGCTATAGGAAAGCTGGGAACACTGGGTCATTCTCGTGTGTTTTCTAGTACGTATTCTACATAGAAGTCACCTCAGATGTGTATATCTTGATGAAATACTTCCTCATGAGCCTTGAGTCAGCAACTGAACCCATGGCTCTCTGAATATGCTCATAGATGTGTGTGGTAGCTATTCTTCAATATCAACTTGTAACATCTGGAATTAACTGCTATGAAAACTCCTTCAGCCAATAGCCTTTAAGATACCGGCTCACTTTGGGCGTGGCCTTGTGTACTATAAACGCAGATGAAAAGCTTCCACAGATCTATTGGCTGCTGGATTCAGTTCCAGTTCCCAGGACACACAGAGGACTGTGGATCGCTACTCTTTCTGTGAGTTTATCCCCAAATAAAGAAGCCTCTCTGATACTCCATTTCGGGCCATTGTGGAACTCTTTTGTATGCCAGCAATTAACTAAAACTCAAGTGACTGGGCACACACCTGTGGGGGATTTGTTTTTTCTTAATTAAATCATTTGAAATGGGAAGAACCACTTCCAATCTGGATCTCTGAGGTGGAAAGATCCACCTCTAATCAGGACCACACCTTTCTGGCAGCCTATATAAAGGACATAGAAAATGGAAGCAAGCTCTCTCTTTGCCTGTTTGCTCTAACTCACTGGACAGTCCAACCCTTAACACCAATCAGAGCCTACTCCTTTGGGATTCTGGCATATACTGAAGACAAGAGGAGACATCCAGCTTTGTGGAGCGAGAAAATCCTGGATTCTTGAACCTTCTGTTGGTAGACAGTCATTGGTGGACTAGCTGGAGCACAGCCTATAAGCCATTCTAATAAATCCCCTTTATATATGTGAATATAAATAGATTTGGAAATATATGTTCATTCTATAAGTTATCTTCCTCTAGACCCCGGAGAGTCTAGAAAAACCTGACTAATACAGTGAGCATGCTTACAAACACATTTGTGAACATTGTCTCAATAGTAACAAATTGAGCCAGTAAAGTTTTAAAAATTAATATAGACTTATTTTTTCAATTTAACCCAAATTTTAAGGATACAATCTTGACAACTCTGAGTAAAAATAAATAAATAAATAGAAAATAAACGTGTTATAGTAATGCTTCAGACAAATAAAATTAAGAACAACTGAAGATAAATAAGAGACTACAATTAATGTGGTTTAAAGAAAGTCAGAAGATTTCTTGAAGTAAATACTCTTTCAGCTGGATAAAACTTAAAAATATATCTTAATCTTGTTTTAAAGGCTATCAATTTCCGGTTGGCTACTCTATAGGGGAAAGTGCTTTTAATAGGAAGGTTTAAAAGTTAACATTTTTTTCTAGCTCTCCAGATAGGATGCACTATTTCATGTAGGAGGTCAATGCAAGGGATCCAGTCTCAGAGGTCTGTGGTGGTTAATAACAGTTCTGCTATGAAGTAGCCTGAACACCTAATGACCTAATTGATTCCCTCTCTTATCACCTTGTCTATAGTGGAAGAGAATAGTCATTAGCAGGCATGGCCAGTAATTGAGCAGATCCAGAACACACAGAAAAGCTGTATTAATACATGATAAATATCAAACAAATATCAGTGTTATGATTACTGTCTTTTTATTATTTTTAGCCTTATCTAAGTACTAAGTGCTGATTTTTGACTTTTACCCTAAATCTGGCTTGCTGTGGGAATACTGAGAGTTTTGGTTGGGGTGATCTCTACAGGAAAGCAGAACAGTATACTCTGGAGGTACTGACTTACCACAGATGCAGTTAAATTCATGTCTCCCCAAATGACAAAGCCTGCAGCTCCCAGCGCAGCGCTTTCTCCAATGATACTTATTAGGTCTTGCTAGATGAAAGAGAACAAAGTTAATTAGTCATTGGAAGATGTATCAGCTCACCAGGAATTAAGATTTCAGACTGAGGCCAAATACACCCTAGATATCATCTCCTGATTTCTCAGAGTGACACAAATGTGAAACGGACTGATGCTCAGAACCACATTCTCTGATCACATACAACAGTGTGTTTGCGTGTGTACATGCGTGTGTGTGTGTGTGTGTGTGTGTGTGTGTGTGTGTGTGTGTGTGTGTTTAGGCAGAGTCTCACTGAGTAGCCTTGGCTGCTCTGGAACTCACCGTATAGATCAGGATGAACTCAAACTCATAGAGATCCTTCTGCCTTTGCCTCTAACTTCTGGGGTTAAGAGCAGGTACTACCCAAGAAAACCCACAGAATCAACTATGTAATACTCATGAGAGCTCACAGGGATTGAACCAACAACCAGGGAGCATGCAAGGGTCTGACCCAGACCCTCTTCATATACGTTATGATAGTGTAGCTTGGTCTTCTTGGAAAACAAAAAACAAAACAAAAAGAGAAAAGTGGGAGCAGGGCTCTGACTTTGTCCGTTCTTTATATTTGGCCCCTGAAACGCTCTATATTTAATTTCTAAATACTGGATATAATGGGTTCTATCTATGTATGCTTCATCTAAGAAATGACAAATCCACAAGGATTTCTCCCAATATGGCAAAAGTAAATGAAATGGAGGTATCACAAGTAAAAATCAGTGTTTTATCATTCAAAGATAAGCTTAGTGCCAGAGATGACTGTGGACCAAAGGAACAGAGGGGAAAATAGGAGTTGGGCACATGCTGCTGATTTCCTAGCTTATTAAATTATAATACATTCTCCCTCTATGAAGGATGCTAAACATTTACCTTTTACTCCAAAGATAAATTTCCATAAGTTAAGTGATAGAAAATGGTGAGTTGGAGGAAAATACAAGCAAAAGAAAAAAATCAAACTATCTTTATTTTGCCTACTTTATCATAATATCAATACCTGACTAATTTTTCTTCTCCTGGCACTTCTATAGTCCATCGTACAAACTAACAATTTTACAACGTTTATCTTAAAACAAGCTTTTACGGACATTTTTCTGGAGACTTTTGAAGTGTGAAGAGAGGCTTAAGTTTGAATTGACTTACCTCTCTGGTTCATATCCATTTCTGTTCTCCAAGACCATAATATCAGACAGCCCACAAAACAAGAAAAGGAGGGCCTCAAAGGAGATGACATACATAAGAGGATTTTGAAAATTGTCCACAGGCTGGTGAATGCAAGCATAATTACCTATGCAGTGCTCAGATTGCAGACTGCAGGATGTACAACTGTTGACACAAATGCATAAGGAAGACAACTCAGACCACTGACTTTAAAAGAACCTTGAGACCAACAAGGGGACAATCACAGCCTGTGGTCAGAAGAAAGTCTCCAAGATCCTATTTAGGATTAAGAATATTATCAAAGGAGAAATGGGACATAGCATTTATATCTTGTGTTTAGGTCACTGATTTACATTCACTAAATATGGAAGCTACAGATTTATGTCGTGACAGCCCTACCTTCTAAGGTTATATTAGTTTAAGTATGCCATTCCTTTAGTATCATTAGGAAAGAGCATTTATTGGGACAGATCAAAGAATAACTAGTCTTCAAGAACATCTTGACCAAAAACAAAGGGGCAATATCAATAAAGAAAAATGTTAGCGTCATATTAGTTCACTGTCATCTGGCAGTGATGTGATAATTGAATCACAGACTAGGTATGATCTGAGGACCAGAAAAATAAAAGCACTAAGGAAGCTATTGAGAGGACACCTCTGGGAGTGTACAGGGACCACCTAAGAATTGGAGCCTCGCAGATAGCATTGCATGAACATAGAAGCAAAGAAACAAAGCGGCTGTAGCAAAAATGTGCCTCTGAGTCCCTGTGCAGCCTCGGCTTTTTGCCCATGATTCCCAAATTCAAATCAGTGTTTCAGAAGTTAAATGAGTACTTTGGTTGCTAGACAAAGAAAAAGAACCAATGTGGAAATAACCAGAAAACTTCCTCCATCCATGCTAGCTCACTTTCATCGTGACAAGATGGCATGCAGGCTACTGGAGAAGAAAAAAATATCAATGGTCTTACCGATCACAGTACTGGGTAACACTGCTACAATACAGACCACCCTGGCAAGATGTGCCCAATGGTACAATAACGTCATAACTTTAGAAGGTTAATCAACTAGTTTGTGCTTGGATCTGTAGCCTACTCAACAAGAGGGAAGTCAGGTAAAGTAATGTAAACCTGGCCAAAGGTCTGTGACTGAGAAGGTCATAGGTCCTAGAGAGAAACCAATGATTGCAACTTGCTAAGTGATCATATTGTGAAACTGTTTTTAATCATTGTATTTATTACATCCACAAATATGTGCTACTCATAACTTTAGTCACAGAAGCTTGTTTTTGCCGTGAACAGTGGAATAGACAAACTCATAACTGTTTAAAGTGCTGAGAATAAGATTCTACGAGGGCTCAGTTCTAATTGGGACATTATGTCAGCTCTCCACACCCTCTATCATTCGACCATTCAGGTAGCATCAAGGTACTGGGGACAGAAAGAATGCAAGAGCTGGTAAGTGAGAAGGAATGCGTGGAAATGCTGCCTCCTCTACATGGTGGATCTGTTGCATTTGTGAGCTCACAACAGCTATGGTTTCCTGCATAAGATCAAACTAGTTAAAATTCCAGTCTGATTGGGGCCAGGGAGCTCATGTGGTTCCACTCCTAGCTTAGGAGCTGTTGACAGTTCATGGTTTTTAGATACACAGGGCATCTCGTTTTCTTGGAGAGTGTGGCCACTAGTAAGTTGCTCATGCTCCAGCGGATAGCCATGTAAAAAGACCAGGTACCACTAACTTGACTTAAAAAGGTGGAGGGGACTTGAAATGGAAGGGATAAATATGGAAGAGACCATCAGGGAGAGTTGAGGGACAACGTGGAAGGTGGACATAATCAGATTACATTGTATGTATGTAAGGGGGAAGTAGAGGAAAGGATACCTAGAAGAGTCTTCCTCCATACTTAGTTTGTGGTCCCTGGTGCTTACCAAAATTTATGTTAGAAAATTATCTACCAGTGGGAGACAGAATGGAAAAACAGTCACTAAAGAACTTACTTTGTATGTTGCCAGAGAAACTAATTACTCACAGAAAAACGTCTAAATCTTCACCTACAGAAACAGTTTTCATGATTTTTATAGAGCATAACATCACATTATGTCTTGATTGAATTTACATGTTGGTGGTACTAGCCATCTTCTTGGTGGAATGAGATGGAAGTGCCTTTGTATTATTTCCCCCAAGCTATGGCTGCTGCCTGAGATTCTTAGAGAGTCCATGGCTGAGTGCTTCAAGGCTTTGAAACTTGTTTTAAATTGACAGCTATTCCACATGTATTTCTGAAGTGATTCAAATTTTCACACAACTTTTCTCATTTGGTTTATTTTTTCATACTTCTGTCAGATCAGTGGAGTAGCGATAGTGTCTTCATCCCCTGTTTCTGTGTGAAGAACTGAGACACTGGGTTCTGGAAAGGGTAAGAGATTTGCTACCATCTTCAACTGTATACATGCATGCATTCTAAACTGTCGACATATTTGAGAAAGAAATGGAAGTCGTCCCTCATAGTCGTTCGGAGTTTGAAGTAGACAAGCATCACATTTTTTAAACTGTGAGGAGATTTTGTGGTAGATTGAGTGCGGTGGTGTGTATGCTGACGTTTTCAGTCACAAAGCTGCCCTCTCAGAATGAGAAGAGCCCCGAGTGCTGGTGTTGCTTTCCTGAGAGGAAAGCGTAGCATTTCTGAACTATTGCTATAAGACAAAGGTGACCCAAGCCATGTGCAGTGTACAGAATGACCCAACACACTACAGTGATTCATTCTACAGTAGTTCACACTACTTGCTTTTCTAGATGAGCATGATTCCTCTAAATTTTAGGTTTTTATTTTCAAAAATAAATTCATCATCACTGAAGAAAGGACCATTATGAAGCTAAATATGCAAATATATATAGAGAGAAAGTTAAAACAGACTTTCTGATATATGTGTGTATACCATATATGTGTGTCTGTGTATATATACCATATATACATATATATGCTCTATTTTACTTTCCATTGCCAGAGTCAGTATTATCCTGTAAAATTTTAGATAGCTTTTCCAATCCTCCCAGCAAAGATCTCTTGCCATTCTTGATTCAGTATTCACAGATGACTTTTGTGGGTAGTATGAGTCTCAGCCCATTGTGAAGGCTTTCACCTTCTGGATAGTGATAAAGCCACAGAATTTCCACACCTCCCACAGGTGCGCTCCTTCTTCTCCTTCATATGGGCACGCATGGTAAAGCCCAGACCTGAGTGCTTCCTACGCATCTGCCTGAGGATGCCAAGCACCTTTTAGCCATCTGGTCCACTGATATTTATAATTGAGAAATGAGAAGAAACACCTCTGTTGAAATATCTTAAACCCTTGGTGGCAAGTCAAATGCTAAAATACTATTGCATCATGAAACAATGGCTGAAACAGATTGTAAGTTTTCTTGGTGCAGAAAAGATATATACATAAGTACCCAAATCCACTCTTTGTCTTGGAAATTTTTGTTTAAATGACTGGGGCAACAAAGGAAGAGAAAATCAGGCTGAAAGTTGGCCAAGTTTCAAGGTTACTCTCCTGGAACAGATGAGATCTCTGGCAACAAATACAACTTGGGCAAAAATTATCAGGTACAAAGACAGTTCTCTCAGAGCTTTAACCTGGGTTGTGAAGCTACTCATGGTTACCACTGAATTTACAAGCCTACACCACCTCTACCAGTTTGCCATGAGCAGTTTTCAGAGAGGCAACTAGGTACAAGATGGCTCTGCCAACTGATGATTGTTTCATACTTTTAAAACTGCTTTTAAATTTTATATAATTTTAAACCCTTACAGGCATGAATATCGCTTACTTAGTAAAACCTGGCATTACATGTTTAAAAGAAAACAAATTCTCCTCTCCTTGCATTTGAAATGATGAAGCAAGAGGCCGGGATGTCTTTCATTCTATGTTCAAAATGCACTCTCTAATTTCTTAGCCTGCTAAGCACAAACTGTTTCAGTAATATTCCACAACAGCCAGGCACAGGGAATTCAGTAGCTGCTAGCCTCATATGTTAGCTCTTTCACCCTTTGCTGTGTCCTTTAAAAACAGTGTCAACAAACAAGATCACAAAATTTAGTTGCATAAAGGAAGAGTCTAAGCAGACCAGTACTCTAGAAAGAATAAGACGCTAGGTATAATTAACAAGGAAATTTATCGTTTAGAAATGCAGCCGAAATCCTCCACCATGAGACAAGGAAAGTCTTACCCTAGAAAGAAAGAGCAGAGGTTCATCTCTGTAGCCCAGTCGTGTGTAGATGAAAACAGGTAGAGCATAATCATGTGACGTCATGGTAGAGATCCTCATTGATTCATATACCCGAAATTGAGAGAAGTGCAAAGTACGTTCGCTGTCTCTCAAGGATTTCTTGATACTAATAGCAGGATACAGAGAAGTACTGCTGTTCCAGAGCCAAGAGAGCTCATCATTCCGCAGAAGTTCCTCTTCCGGGCATGACCCAGTATAGTTTGCATCATAAAAATTGTAATTGTGGCAATCGGGATATAAATAATAACCCCAAAGGCCTTTGGGTCGACTCCTGATTCCCAATTTGATAGTTTCCTCCATGAAAGCTTTTGCACTTTTCTCAAAGGTTGCTTTCGCTAGATTTTCAATATCAGCAGCTGACATGTTCTTCTTCATATCAGAAATAAGTGTTCTTGACTTTTGTCTGTAGACATCCTTTGCATCCCAGTTCCGGGCCCACTGTGGGCGCCAATATTCCCAGTCTATAACAGCAAGCCCACTGAAGTTTTCACCAGGGATGTAAAAGCTAATATCCTGGGCAGCCTTTTTCAGATGTAATTGTAAGCTTGTGTTTTGTGGAAGACCCCCATTGATGGGGACCCCTCTTGATGTATACCATGGGTAATTTCCCAACTTGTTGGCATAAAATATAGTAACATTTTGCTCCCCATCTTTGAGTCGAGGGCTTCCAATCATCTGAAACATTTTCAAATTCAGTGTTAAATTATATTTTATCAAACACAGATCTGTTGGTGCATTCCAAGCAGCTATAAAAGGTTTCCTTTGGTAAATTGGAAGTCGGGCAGGTTTTAGAGATGAGATAGACTTCAGGATAAAAAATATGAGCAGCCCTGATGGAAGATGTACTGGCTGAACAACGTGGAGCCTTAATTTTCCTTGAGATAACAGTTTCATGATAAGATAGGAACTTACACCACTTCTTCTTTAGTGTTCCCCAGAAGGCCTGTGGAGAGATTTAATTTTCTGTTTGAGATAACTTGAAAAGGATGGATGTTATTAATGTTTTTTCTTTGTATTTTCAAAACACATTTATTTTAAAGTCATAATGATTTCTATAAATGAACTGAGATGTAAAATCAAGTGTCATGGTCAGGTTTCTACTCAGGGATAAGCAAAAAGATTTGGGAAGTGTTGAAGAACTTCAGACCCTGTATGTCCACAATAGGATAAAAAATGAGATGTGTGGTTCATGATGAAAAGCCAATGTGAAATAATACAACCACCTTGGCAAGTTTTCCAATATCTGCAATACACTCGGATGCTTTCATTGTTTTACTATAGCAATTATGTCACAGTCTGTAATTGCATTCCCAGTTTACAAAAGAAGAAATGGAGACCGAAATGAAGGGCCCTGAATGATGTCACACCACATGGAAGATAAGACAATGCAAACAAATTATAGACAAAATGCATAGTAAGTTAGTGGAGCACTTAACCTGGCTGTGAAGGATATAGGAAGAGAACCAAGATCAGTAGCAAGGAATGCCGCCGAGAAGGTGCACTCGGGCTGACTTGAGAAGGCAAGAGACATAGAAATGTCTCATTTTCCTTTCAGTTTTCTGGGGGAGAACTGCAAAAGAACTGCTTTTAGATAACCACTGCAAAGACCTTAATGGCGTAAAATGTTCTTCTGTACCAGTGAAATGACAATGCCTTTTGCTTAAGTATAACGCCATAATATTAATACATGTAGCAGACATTTGCTGAGTATGTGCCTAATGCCATGATACTAAGACATGTAGCAGACATTTGCTGGGTACATGCCTAATGCCATGATGCTAAGACATGTAGTAGACACTTGCTGGGTACATGCCTAGGAAACAGATCCCTTTCGACTTCCTCTGTGGTGAATTCTGCACCACATGTCTTGGTGAAGTGTGTAGTACTGCTTCCCTTAATAAGTCCCAAAGTGTAGTTGCTTCCCTGGCTTTCAATGCTCCTTTGATGCTGTTTGGGACCATGATAAAACCACTTAGATGCATCCTACGCTAGTCTTTAAATTGAGATCTTGCAATTCCAAGAGTTCAAGAGGTAATGCTGATAGTGGTGAGAAAATTCTAACATCCAGAAGATAGGGAGATGGTTTGGTGGGTAAAGTGCTTGTTGTAAAAGTGTGAGAACCTGAGTGTGGATCCTAGCACCCCCACAAAAGCTGGTCAGTGGAACTCTCCTGTAACCCCAGCACGGGGGAATGCAGGCAGGTATATCCCTAAAAGTCACCAGCCAGCAGCAGTCTAGCTGAACTAATGAGTTTAAGGTTAAGAAAGAGACTTGTCTTGAAAACTAAAATGGAGAGGGAGAAAGGAAGACATTGGGCATTGACCTCTGGTATTCACACATTTGTGTGCAGACAATTGCACCTGCATACACACACACACATGTATACACACAAATACATACACACACAGCCCACCCACGCATGCACACACATGCACACACATGCACACACAACACACACACATACATATACACATGCATGTGCACATTCACATGCTTACACGCACACACAGTTTTCATTGTCCAGAAACAGAAATGGCAGAGTTTGAGGGTCATCTAATGTCCATGTTTCTGCTGCTTGGTGCCAACATTGTTTTTGTGCTGAGGCGCTTTTCTGTTCACCTATGGTAGGTTTGATTTCAAACCAGAGACTGTGATAGACAAAAACTTTCTGTGGAACCTCTGACTTTCGAGAATTTCCTGAAATACACGTCATTCTAGGCAATTACCATTTTAGCCACCAGAGGGCAGGGCACCAACCAAACCTCATGGTATTTCTCAGCATACTAAAGCAAACAGAAATTCTAAATAATTTATCAAACCATTAAAAGACATTTAGGAAGTCCTAAGTAAACTGATACAGTCAAAAGTCATTTTTTAACATTAAATATTTTTATTTATTGGATAAATATCTACTCCTCCACAGCCCGAAGATGAATAAAATTACTCTACCTACATTAGTAGGTACAACTGACCTTTGCTTCAGATTTCCTCAGGTCCCCTTCCCCTCACCACATCTATGCAACCCAACCATGGCCCCTATTTCTGAGCCCTACTGTATCTGGGCCAGTCAACGCACAGATCACTGCTTGGGTTCCACACCTAATCCTAAGCATCCCATAGCAACTTGCCTTTGCTTTCTGGTCTCCTGCTCTCATCCTCTCCTGAAGGTCCTAATCCTTTAAACTCATCTCTGATTGGTGGAGTTAAGGAAGAGCTGACAACATAGTTAATCAACTGTATGGATGCGTGAGGAGTTTAACCTCGGCTCATTCCCTAAAGTGTGTTATGTGCTTCTCTCTGCTTAATAAGAGACAGGTTTATTTGGGAACATATAGGAGAACCATCTGTGAAGACATTTTGGAGGTCTCTAAACAAAAGAAAAAGGAGGTAGATTTCTTCCCAGATAGCTGCACCTCAAAGAGCAAAGACGCACCCAAGAAAGTTTCTTAACTACTATACAGTGACTTTGGCTTCACAGCTCTGATCTTGCCCACTGAAAGATGAACACAACAAAGACAACAAAAAGCTACGATGTGTTTCTAGGAACCCCGTGCCTCCCCCGCCCCCCGCAACCCAGGATCTTACCTCTGGTTCACTCTTCCAGATAATGAAGAAGGTGAGTATCTGTACCTTCGTAGGAGATGGATCTGCTACGTTCAGACTGGGATCTGTGAAGAAGCCACTTTCCTCTATTCCTCTCACCGGAACTGTCATGATAAATTATATTTAAAAAAACTAAAATGAATAACCCAGTAATGAGAAGAGCTGAGGCCAGGGAGCTTATCAATAGATGTGGGCAATTTCACAGGATAGCAAAGTTAAACAAGTTCATTGGCAAGCCGCAATAGAAATGAGATAGTGAAGACCATCTTGTTCGGGCATGGGAGTAGGGTGTGTAATGCACAAATATTAAACATGTCTGTCACTGAGGACGAATGGTTCCTTCTCTGTGGTTTTCTGTTTATTTGCTTGTTTGCAGTTCCAGGGATGAAACCCGTGGACTCATACATGATCACCCTTCTTCACCCACGCACCGACTCTCTCTGCCTTCTGATAGCCTACAGCCTTCTACCTGCCCCCCATTCTTAGACTCACTCCCAAGTTACCCAAGCAAGGCAGAAATCCTACAGGTGGTTCTCTCTGACATCCTTTTGCCGAATACTCCTGAGGGTTTGAACACTCCATCTGTTGCATGAGCGATAAGGCCCCTCGATTAAGTACAAGTGTGGCCTGGTGATCTTTGAAGCTCTGGCACTTAGGCGAGGGCAGAGGCATTTAGCATTCATTCCAGAAGGGGAGTTCTGTAAGAACCAGGGCGACTATAAAGAAGCTGCTGTGGTGGCCTGCCAGAGGGTTGTTTCAAAGAGTAATGAGTAACAACCTCGGGGAGTTTTAACAATCACATTTAAAAAAAAAAAAAAAAGAACTGAATGTTTTGTTCTTTGGCTCTTATATGAATGGAAAACAGTGTTGTCACCTGAGCCGCATCCCTAACTCTTATTGTTTTTTTTTTTCTTGGTTGGTTTAAGTTTTGTCTTAGTTTTTGTTTGGGAACTAGATCTTTCTGTATACCCAGGCTGGCCTTGACCTGGTGATCCTCCTGTCAGCACCTCCCAAGGGCTGGTGTTAGAGTATGTCTTTATCTTGACTGCAGCTCCGAATGCTTTTTTTCCACTCATGCACCAAGGATGATATTATAGCTCAATAATATTAGAGCTACTACCTGGAAACACTTGAAAGCATATATTCTAGATTCCACGTTAACGCATTACAGAAGAAATCTAACACCCTAACTCAGAATCCTTCTTTTTCATAATATTGGGATTTTGTTTTTAAACATCTTTTTAAGATGTCAAGCGAAACCTATCAAGGTTTACAGAGATATCCTGGAGTTCCTAGCCTCTTGAGAATCCAATAAATGTGATTTACTTCCAAACCATCAAAGAAAGTTCAGCTCACTCTGATATTTTATTGGTCATTATAAAATACATAAATATTTATCAAACAAAGGGCAGAGTGATCTCAAAGCCACAATTCTGCACTAGTAACTAGTAGCCTGCTCTCTGGTAACAACTTATTGGAGCAACAACCAATTAGAGCCATCATTCCTAATGAATTCCTTTTCTTTTAAATGTCGTTGCTCAAGGAGCTGGGTTTCTGTCTTCCAGAAAAAAATAATAGTAAGAAATATATATATATATATATATATATATATATATATATATATATACAGAGATATCGATATATAAATACTATTGTACATATGGGTTTCTCAATAGACTTTTCCCCATAATTTTTTAATTAGAAAATTTAGCAACAATTGTGTTGTGATACAATCCACTTTATTACTGTGTCTCTTGAAGGCCCATAGCTTATAAGTATGTCCTGAACTTTCTATCACTCTTTTTCAAGTGGTGACCACAGAACACAGGTATGCCTTCTTCTGAACAAATCTTAGAACTCTAGTGCTAGCTGGGTTATATAAAACTGCTTCCCTTTCTATTCTTCTCACAAAAAAAACCCTAACTTTGTAAATATATAAAAATGACTATTTTAATGTCTCCTGTCACACGCTGTTTCTTCTGGATGGAAACCTCCCCTAACAGGAGGGTAGATAATCACAAGGCTCAGAAAATTCACACACAAAAAAAAAACCTCATAAGATGCACAAGGCCCCTCCCCAGCCTTTGTGATTGGCAAGCAGCTGCTAGGGAGGTGCCCTTTCCATGGTGATGACACCTGCAAGTTGCAGAGGAACTGGTTATACCGTCTTTGTGAGCCATCACCCATCACATGGAGACTTAACAATAGTGACGCTTTCCTGTGTCATCCGAGGCAGGGTGGAGCGTGAAGCTTTGCTGACCGGGAGTCACTCACGTTCCAGAAAGTAGACCCTTACCTGTGTTCTCATAAGCAACCCCAACAAACTCATAGGTTAATCAAAGCTGAGTTTGGGTGGGAACCTATCTTTGGTCTATTGGTGTTCTCTCTTTGGAATCAATGAGGCATTGCTATGAATCCCCTCAGGAAAAGTCCATGGGCACTAGTCAACGGAAACGTCACTACTCTTCGGTGTGAGAAGTCGCATTTCTTTCTGAAACAGAACCGTTTTGTTTTCAGAAACGCAGTCTAAGAGAGAATATAATTGAGTTTGTATGAAAGTATATGCTTAGTTTTGTCCAAAAATGTGCCACTTTTCTGTTAGGACTTGAATTTTCTTGCAGCCAGTATCAGCAGCTTTCTTGGGAAGGCACATAAAGTTGCAGGACCACACTTTTATTAAAATGTTCCCCCTGTCAATCTGTTCTTAACTAAACTCCTTAAAATAACATTAGGTTGATGTAACTCTTCAGCTGTCCAGCTAAAGTTTTCAAGCGCAAAAATAATCTAATGGTCTATGCAACATCATTCAAATCTTCTCAGCATCCATAATTATATTTTAAAATACTTGCATTCCCCATAATATGGCCCAAGTTATCACTAAGAAACCTGGAGTATTTGAAAAGATAGCCAGAGAGAAACTAAGGTCTGGAACAGACATTTAATCTCAGGCTTCAAGTCTGTAAAAAATATCTAAACCATCTACTTTTCTCTGCATTGTCCAGTTTCTATGGCTGAAGTCAACATACCAGGTTGAACTGGGTGACTAAGCCATATCGTCCTGTAGCAACTATGGTTCAACTACAAATTCTGCCTCAGTCCTGACAGACATGGCTTGGGAACTAGGATTTGCATGTTTGGTGACGTTCATCTCTGATAAAATACACTTTAGCAAGGAAAAAAGAAAAAGAAAAAGAACCAAGGGAAATATAAGTAGATGGGCTCCAGTCTGATTTCCGTGAAGGAAGAGCACAGCCCATGGGAAAGAGGCACAAACTACAAAAGTTTTTGTACTTACAAAAGCTTTACCCCGAGTGACATCACCTGTAAATCCCAAGGTTGAAAGTAATATCCATCATCAAGAGGAAGGCTATGAAAGCCAGGTCTTCCCCTTCTACACAAAGGGTATTTAGGATCTGTTACAAAGAATACATTCGCCTCTACAGATTACTATGAACATTATACAGATACTAAAATATTCCTTAAAATATAATTTTACACTTATTGATACATAATTTTCAAATTTAAAAAAAACAAAAAATTGAGATTATTTCCATAGTCTAAGAGTAGATATATATTGCAAACACACGCATACTCATGCATTTACTTACATATGTATAATTGGTGTAGTGAAGAATAACTCTGGATAAGTTCTCTGAAAATGGATGTACCACGTGTCTCCAAGGAGCACAGTGTAGCTGAGTAGGATTAGTGGACAAGGTGAGGTTTCCTTGGGGGGTATGTTGAGACATTGCTTATATGGATTTGGTTGCTTTTAAGAACCCTTTATTTAATGAAAACAGTCCATATAGCTTTGTGTTTTGAAAATACAGTTTACAAAATAATTCTGATCACAAGGCTGTAATAAATAAGGACCCTGAACAAGGTCAGACCTCAAGTTGGACTTTACTAGTTAATTATTAAGGATCTTTTACAAAGTATTAGCTTTTTCTCCAACCTCACCCCCACCCCTAAAAAAGTAAAAGAAAAAAAAAGACCCTTTTCAGAAAATAAGAAAAACTTTATTTTAATTAAAGGGGAATGCTTTGAGATTAAAGACTCTATTTAGACATTCAAGTATTAATAGCTAAATATAGATAGATTGACTACACATGGTAAAGAAAAGCCAGAAGTAGGTTAAGGCTTAATAAGTATTAAGCAAAGAACACTGATGACAGTGTTGAAGCCTTTAATTAGGATTCCTATATACCGTGTCATATAACACATATCAGTGGATTATTTATTACAGCTAGTAAAATAGCCTTCTCTCATTATAAATATGTCAAAATACTTGTTAGCAGACAGAATAATTTGGAAGATTTTGATATGAAAAGATGTTTTGAAGCTCTATCCCATTTCATGGCTATATATTAGTTTTGATGGTTTGTCCTTTAATTTTAAATAAATCAGAAAGTTAGGTTATCAACATGGCAACTTTGGATCATTTTTCTTGATTTTTATCCTCACTTCAATTCCTATACATATTGGAGGCAGGGTCTCACTATGTTTCCCGGACTGGCTTGGAACTCACCATGTAGACCAACCTGGTCTCGAACACAACAGAGATCCATTCGCCTCTGCTTCCCAAGTGCCAAGACTGAAGGTGTGCACCACTACCCCCCAGTTCTGCTGTATTTCATTCAATTACCCCTTTAAATGACGTTTGTCTTTTGACCTTCTTCGTTATTCCCCAGTGAATGTAGTTAGTGCCATTCTTGCTTTTCTGTTCCCACACTTTCCTTTCATAAATGCCCTCTTAGATCTAAGCGCTTTCTCTAAATTTGATCCGCTATCCCTGGTGAGTTGATAGCACGAAATGAAAACAATCTCAAGCCTATTATGCAGAATTTACCAAAGAAATTTAAAGTTTGTAATCTGATGTTCATTGCTATCACAAAAAAATTATCGAGGTAATAAGATAAAAAAATATTATCTTACAATTTAGCTTCTTTTTTACTGTTTTAATCTTCGTTGGGATATCACAATTCTGTTGCTTTGCAACATTCACAATTAAAACTATTGACGCCATCTAAATGTCCAGACATGGTACTGATAATCTATTTTCTGCCTCTGACCTGAAATCTGAGATCTTAAAAATTGCATTTGTGGACTAGAATTTAAACTCTGGTTCTCTGGCATGAAGAGCAGCAGCCCTTGCCCATTCTGTGCCCCTCTGAAATCCTGTGCCTCGCTCTCTGGTTGACAGCTTTCTCATCCCATACAGTCACCTCACTGAGTTAGACAGACTGTGGGCATTTCACAACTGTGCTCTGACCTCCCATATCTAATAGTTGCATGCCTGACCTTGCCGTGTCCTTTGACTTTATAACCACCTTTACCTGAAATATCTCCATCAGCCTTCAGTCCAGTTTACTGTAAGTTATTAAGTTTATTAAAAAACAACACAATCTGAGAAGATGTTGGCATGTAAACAAAGAGCAAGTAAAAGAATGCATGTGTTTTTCTTCGTTTTTAAGGTTTGTATCTTGAGTGATGGGTTACACGGGTGTTTCATTTCCGTCTGAGGCCCTGGGTTTACACTTTTGGCATCCTTGCTGGGTTAATAGGAAACCCTGACGCTGTGACTGAATGTGCCAAGTTGTAGTAACAAATATTTTGTGCTGTCTTATAAACAGGTGAATTAAACTCTGACAAAATAACAAATCATTAACTAAGCATTTATTTGTGTATACTTTAAAAGCTCATTAGATAACCTGATTTCTGACACTGACACACAGACTGTTTGATATTTGTACATCAGTAAAGAAAGTGAGTTTCTATATTAGTTGCAGAAACATAAGCTAATTATAAATGCAAAGGAAATACCCTTTCAAACAAATGGGTTTTAATTTTTAACAACAATTTTATTTCCCCACGATGGCTAATTGCATTCAGGATAGTTACAAAGCTTGCAACTTGGAAACACGTAAATTTAAATTATAATTTTTGCCGGTAATGCTGTAGGATTATCTAACACAGCAGAAAGATAAAGAAATGTAGAAATCATAAATTCTGGGTGGCACTAAGATTGCATACAATAAGTGTTTTTGAAATACCTATGCAAAGGCAGAAGGACTTCCAGTCTGGAACAGCAGCCAGTTCTTGACACATCCAACATGTTCTACCAAAGAAATATTGCTTCTTTTGCTGTCGCTGTTGTTGCTGTTTTCAAACATGCATAAGTGGTAACATAGGATCATTCTTTTGATTCCATTGTGGCATTAGAACAGTACTTAGTACTTAAGGTGCTTTCTTTTTCTGTGAAAAAGACAAGTCAGAGATGGTTCTCATTAGAAATGTATAGCATCTAAAATTCTATTGCATGTTAAAAAAAAACTCTCAAGAAATATATTAAGCTGAGGAGACAAGACTTCAACAAACAAGTAGTTATAGATGAAGGTAGAAGCATGAATAGAACTTTACATCTTTTAGTACTGAATATGTTAAAGTGCTCCCCAAGAAAGAATCCGATCCACAAGATTATTGCTAAGGAAACGTTACATATTGTGAGTCTCCAGAAAAGAAGTCATGAAGGATGAGTCTAGAGACTCTGCACATTATTGTTGTATGACTTGCTTTTTGTTTGTTTGTTTGTTGTTGTTGTTTTCTGAACTTTATCTGTGAAACAGATGTTTAATTTCTTACCTATGACTGTTCAACAGTGACTTAGGAAGGAGACTCCAAAGTCTCCTTCTCTGCTTCCATCAGGTGAATTCCAGTTGCAATAAATACTGTATTTAAGGTGGCCTGGCTAGTGCTGCAAGAGCACCATGTTTGTCAGCAAGTATCCTAAGTGACAGCTGCTCTCTTTCGCAAGCAGCCCAGCCACTGGAGGAGTGAATAAGTCATGAAACAAGCAGGAAAACCCGGTTTCGCTCTAATTCTACATGATTGGCACAAGAGAGTCCCATGCTCCAGAGAAAAATACATATGAAAGGAACATTTTATGCAAACATGTAAAGTAGAAAATAAATGTATTATTCAGATGAACATGTGCACATATTGGATGACACTTTGTCTCACAAGGTTTCTATTCTGTTCTGCTTGCAAGCAATTTGTTGGGGATAAAGAAAACCTACAGATTATTTCTTCATCTGGGAATGAAGGAGTAAGAAAGAACACATTTTGCTACCTAAGCTATTCTGTTCAGCTAATAATTCCTCAAATTTTCACTTTCTGTTTGGCATATATAGTCATTATCCAGATACAGTTGGCTCCATTCTAACACAATTTCTTGACGTTAGACTTTTACTTCTCCCACAGATTTACTGAGTTAAGATTTATCTTTTTGTGCCATTTTGTACTTATTCTCTCTTTTCTAGACAACTCCGTGCATGTGAGCATGCTTATGCTGACCCTCTCCCTAACCAGTAAGAGGTTTCTCTTTCACAGAACGCTTCTTGATGACCATTTCTAACTATCCAATCACTTTCTGAGTATTTGACTAAAACTTAAACTTATTTTTATGATAGAAGCATCTATTTTCTGAATCCTTTCCAATGCTGCACATATCCTAAGAACTGTGACTTTTGTTTAAATAGCAAACCTCCAGTATTACTCATCATGACTGATATGATAACTACTGAATGAATTAGAAAACATTGTTTAAGATTATAAAAGTATTTTTATTAAATAAATATACTGTTACTATCATGGAAATTGTTAGCATGAGGAACTCTTTACCACTATTGATTTACAAAAAATTAAAGTGTGTAGCTCTGTAATAAAGCTGTATTGTAACTATTTATTAGGCCTGTTTTGTGGAACACCATTTAAGAAACCGAAAGTTAAGTATTAGGTCATGATACATATACTACAAAAACTTGCTTTTCAGAGAAACTGCCATCATAAAAGAGGAATAAACAAACCTTGACTAAATATAACAGTAAATAAGAACATTCTCAAATATAAATATAATGAATAAAATTACTAAATTCAATTGACAATGATCAGTGATAAACACATTTTAGAATACCAGATTTTCTAAAAGAGCTCATATTTTAGAAGATACTTCATTTGAACCATAAAGTTAGGCTAGAAAAGAAATTGGAATATTCAAGTCAGTGAGGACTAGTTTTCTCCCAGCTGTTGGAAGAAGACATTTCAAAACAACAATCTTTAATTTTTTTCAGACAGAACAGAAAGTATAGCTTACCTTCGCTTTGGTTTGCCTGCTGGTGCCTTATTCACCTGGTGCCGAGCAGAAGCTGAGTGTCAAGGGTGTCCCACTGGTCCGGAAGCCTGTCATTACAGGGTGACTCAGTCCTCCGAGCTAAGAGGAGGCTTGCATTAAATCTCTTTATAATCAAAGTCAGTCTCCCTCAAAACTATCCTCGTATAAACGACCATTGCCTTCTTAAAATATCCAGTTTGAATTTACTGACTTAAGGAGAAATAAGAAAAACTGATGGGGATTTCAATGGAAAACAGTAAAGAAGGCTGTATAGGTAAGATTTCCAGACTGAAGAATAAAAAGGGGGTTGAAGGCTTTGTGTCCTGTGTGTTATTTTAACAAAGAGACACTAATGTGCGGGCCTCGATAACAGAATGTCTCTTAGTGGGACATTAAGCATCATCCTGAGAAACTTCGTGAACAAGCAAGACCTAGTGGCTCAGGACGGTGAGCCACTCAGATAAAGACATGAGATAAGCACGTCTTTATTTAATGTGTCATTCTCTGCACGTGTCATTAGACAAAGTACTTACAAAGCTGAAAACAAGAGTTAGTATGACTCGCACACTGAAAACAGATGAACTCGAATAAAGACATGCGAAAACTGAAATGACAACACACAAGGTCCATGGGAAAACAGTACGATTTTGCCTCAGTTGTTCCTTTCCTTACAAAAGGATCCCATGATTGAAAACAGAAGCCATGGAAGTGGATGGAGGGCAATTATCCAAGTGATTGCTTGGAATATTGTTTACAGATATCAGAACCAGCAGACTTCCCTGCCATTCCCAAAGGTTGTGGAGTGGCAAGTAGGTTAGATATTTGACCTCGGAATACTTAAACAGCTCTTCCTCTATAGTACTGCACTGGTGTATTGGACCAAATACAAAAGCATAGTTTGAATGCAGAAGAGTGGTCTCCATTGTAAGCACAGAAAGCAGAAGAGATTGCTCACCTCTTGGGGAAATACTCTCTTCTCCCATGATAATTTCCTCCTTCCTTTGACAATTATGGGAGTTCCTACCAACCTGCATGTTTTCCACTTACGAGCACCAGAAGGAATGCTGCTCCTCTAGATGGCCCCAATTCCCATCAGAACTTCTCCCGTGGAGCCCAAGATTCCTATTGAGTAAATAACTCACGCACAGCAGTGAAATCCCTGTGATAGCTTCCTCAACCATTCAAGACCTTCACAGGTAGGATGGCAAAGGACTACCAGACACACAATACTAACAGTGTAAAAGAGAAGAATTTAAGGAAGGGAACAGCTCATACTAGAGAATGGGAATGGGGAGAGGAAATATTTAACAGTGGCAACATTAACAAAACAGAACGAAGTGTCAAGTCCATACTCAGGAGGCAGAAGGATCCTGAGTTCAAGGCCAGCCTGGACAGCATAAGAAGAACTTGTGTCAGAAAGCAATCGAGCAATAACAAAGATCTCATATTTTGAAGAGATTTAAGGTGCTGTTAAGTCTGATACCAAAACTACCATGAGAAAGGAGAAATGACATGTATCCTCTCAAAGAGCTCTTGGAAACTGTTGAGTAAGTAAAATGGTATTATAGAGAAAACACTAAAAAAAAATCAACAATACAAAGCAAAAGTTGCATAAAATCTTAGAACACCAGAGAAAAAAGCCACACAGATGGGTTATAGAAGAGCTGGAAATGAAACCAATGGAAATGTCATAAGTGAACAGAGACAGTGAGAAAGCAGAAATCACCTGACAAAATAATAAAGAAAATTCTCCTGGGCCAAAGGCAGGAGTCTGTATTTGAAGAGAACTTCCAAAGACACGGTAATGAATGTTTTCCATGTAAAAATAAATATACCACAAATTTGCTATGCATCAAAGGGTATAATTATAGCATTGTGTTTGTGAGCTGAAGAGCACATTCTTTCTGATTGGAAAGAATGAGTGGTGTGGAAGAGCGACGGAGAAAGCAAGTGGCTAATAGAAAGGCTTGTGCCTAAGTGAAAAGGGTCCAAATAATAGGGTTGGGTTGTGTTTTTGTTTTGCTTTGGCTTGGTTTTCTAAACAACAAATGGAAAGAATGGTATCCTCAATGACAGACTGCTGCTACTAAGGTGACTCACATTAAAGATAATCCTCCTACAGGTTTCTTACATGACATCCCTGTTACAAGATGTTTCCTTTACTAAAGTCATATGCAGTACTTTATTAGCACTAGGCTAACGGAGGGCCCTTTTGTTCATTTTTCTTGGAATTGTATCATAAATAGATATGAAAAACATATATGTATATTTGTCTTTGACTTAAACACAATGACTTCTCGTTTTTCATAGGCGGCTGATTAAGTATCTACCCTGGGAGTACAAATGTATGCAAGCAAAAGGAAGGGACGACAAGACCAGAAAAGTCCTCATAATCTGCATTTATCTTCAGATGTTTTCAAACTACCCTAAGAAGAATCTGCCATTCTTCAAGCGGCTGGTGAGATAGCTCAGCATTGAAGAGTACTTCCTGTTCTTGAAAAAGACCTGGATAGGGTTCTTAGCACCCACTTGACACCTCACAATGTCTGTATTTTCAGTTTTAGGGAAGCTGAAGCCCTCTTCTGGCCTCTGCAGGAACTGAATTCACATGGTGCACATATGTGCATGCACACATACATGCATACATACATACATATATACATATATACAAGTAGTACAAATGTGGCATTGTATAATGTTATATTATAAAACAAAATTCAATAACATCCTTATTTAGAAAATAGTAAGTGACTGTAGTTGCTAGCAGTCCTTCTACTAACTTGCCATGTTTTCCCCTTTCTTCTCCATATGTCAGTCCTTTCACATGTACTCATTATTTCAGAGACATTTTAAACACTAGATTCTACCTCTGATGTTTTCCTTGGTTGCTAGACAAAGTTGGGAATGCCTCCATTATTCTTTATGTGTTTTATTCCCTTCGTCTTTAAGTTGGTAGTAACGCTTAATATTTGCCTTTCCTAGTATATTGGGATAAGTTCAGCTTCTGAACCCTGATATAATAACTGTTAAATAGCTGTCCTTCCCTGGAAGACTAGAAAGAATCGTTGTTTTCTGCCTGATATAGTGATCAGTTGAATACTTATGAAAAACATTGCATGCCCATGCGTAGGCTTTAATTCCTGTAGACAGAGGTTTTGTGCTACAGGAAGGTGACGGGACAGGAGAACTCATACACCCTTCAATTTTGCTTTTTATATTTCATTGCTTCTTTACCTTTTCGTTTTCCCCCAGAATACGTGGACTAACTAATTAATGAAACAAATAATGTTAGCACGAGAATCTGAAAGTGACCTTTTATAAATTTCCACATGTGTGCTAGGATATAGTGAACCTAATGGTACTATATTTAGAACATATCAAGCAGGAAACGACTTCTTCTAGATTTAGAAAGTAAATAAAATTTAGGCCACCACACTCATTGTTGGGTCTGTAAAATGAAATGATTTGGACGACAATTATTAAGGCCCACAATGAGATTTTCAAATGAATGACCATCCAGTGAAAACTGACAAGCTGTTTTGGTATAGTGTATTTCAATAAACCAAGCTTTATCAAATGAAAGATTTATATTTAATGAAATATAAATTCTACCATGTAGGAAGCCAGTAGGGTTCATCTTTTGGTATTGATGAGCCAAGTGAATATCCAAGGTTCTCTGGATAAAGTTAATCCCCATTGCTTACATTTAAAAAGTCCTGTTCATCTCCACAGGTTAGTATCCTGGGGTGGTGGTGGTGATGGTGGTGGTGGTGGTGGTGTTTTGCTATTATATCCCTCATTATTTAAAAGTTCACAATCCCTGAAAGATAGAGTTGTTTCCTCTGAATTTGCTTCTCCTTATTTTAAGAATTCTTTCTCCAGATACAGCCTTTTGGATTTTTGTTTTTTTACTTGATTTTCCTTTTTTTGAGACAAGCTCTCACTATGTTATCTTGACTGGCTTTAAACTCACTATGTAAGCCAAGCTGGCCTTCAAGTTACAATCTACCTCTGCCTTCCAGGGGCTCAGGTTACAGGAGTAACTATTGTGTCTGGCTCCCTGATAGTGTTGACCTGTTTCTTCGCTGGCTGGCTATCTCAGTATAGAGGCTTTATGTGACTATCTTACATAAAATTCCAAGTGCTCTCTGAGCCTTCCTAATGCTGAAGCCTGTTTTCCCCTTATTCTGTAAAGTTCCGTCACCAACACATATGCTCGCCTATTTACGGCTTCTTTATCCTTAATCAGTTTCTAAGCTCCAAGAGGACAGGTGTATTCCTGTTACCCAGCATGACGTGAACAGCCAACAGTGTGTTTGGAATTTAAAACTAAATATTGTTTATAAAAGGGTTGAAATCAAAGAAAAATAATATTTTCTTCTCTTTCGTATTTTAAGAAAATATTGACTTCGTAGTAGGGAATAAGAAAAAAATTCATCAGAATCCCTGCTAATGTCATGCCAAGAAAAACTAATAGATTCAGTGCAGTGACAGGAGCCCTGCTCTTCTGCCTCAAAAGATTTGGAACGCGAGATCTGCAGGACTCTCCGTGCCAACCGTAATAACAGTGGCACACAAATCCATTCTTCATAGCCATTATTGTCTTCAGCTTACTCCTTGCAGAAGCGACAAATCTGAAACCGTGGTCTGTGGCATAGTCCTTCTGGCTGTCTTCGGGCATGTGCAGATAGGAGGAGGAGTCAGCTGTCTTTCGAACACATCGTCCATGGCTGCTACAGAGACTGTGACTGCACAATTTGGCTGCGGATGTTACATTGAGAGCATAGGGGCCCAGCAGCTCTTCAATAGTTTGCTGCACAGATAAGCAGGACTCCTGTAGGGAAAAAAAATGGGAGATGCTTAAAGAACAGATTGGAGTCCAGAAATAAACACACACATGTACAATTAACTGAACTTGGACAAAAAAATGTCGAGAACTTATAACACGGAAAAGATTGACTTATTTAAAAAAAAAAAACTGGGTTGGGATGACTTGTCCAAACAAACTTGAACCACTAGATATCCAACAAAGGAAACTTTGCAAAAAGTGGTTCAAACTTGAGCATTAAAAGCCAAAAACCAATGAAACATTTTCAGAAAACTGGGTTTTTTTTCCCTGCTTCCTGTCAGTCATGACAATTCTCTTGCATGAGACCAAAAGTATGGGTGACAGAAGCAGAAATAAACAAGTGGAACTGTTAGACTACACACTTCTGCACACTCCCAGCTAACAGGGTGAAAAGGCATTCTACACAGCAATGCAAAATATTTGCAAAACTCCTGTTTCCCACAGTTTCTCACAACAAAACCAAAGTCTAAATGACCCAAAGCAGCACACATAATAACTGAATAAAAAAACTACACAAAATAGCCAAGTTTAGTGGTAGAGGCCCATAATCTCAGTTACTTGGGAGGCTGAGGCAAGAGAATCACAAGTCTGTGGTCTGAGTGACCTACAAAATTGAGTTCAAGGCCATTCTAGGCAACTATTTAAGATCCTATCTAAAAAAAATATGTGAAGTAAAATGAGTTCTAGGAATACAGCTCACCGACTCAGTCCTTACCAAACATATGTGAGGCCTTAGGTTCGACCCCTACATATGAAGAAATTAAAAGACCCAGGCAATAGAGCACACATCTTTAACCCCAACACTCAACTGAAAGGCAGAGGCAGGTGGAGTTCTGTGAGTTCAATGTGAGGCAAGTTAATAGAAAAGTCCTAGGCTAGTTATATGGTGAGACTTTTGTCTCAAGAAAGAAACAGTTTACTAACTCACCTTGTCATTTGTAGAAATAAATAGAAAAGACATGAATAAACATTTTTCATTCCCAGAAAAGTACAAATCAAACCTACAATGAACCATTGCCACATACTCATAAGGTTGGCAAATATTAAAACCTTTCTAGAGATTACATGTATTGATGACATTGTTTGGAACCCTTACAGCCTATTGTTCCAAATACAAAAAGATACAAACTATGGAAAACAGTGTGGAAGTTCTTGAAAAAATTAGAAATAGAACTATCATATGATGCATGCATATGTGCACATACACAAGTATGTACTCACACACACACACTTATGGACATAGATACAAAGGGGTTTGAATCATGATCTGGAAGTGACATTCACACTTTTGAATTTAATGCCAGGCTATTCTTTGTAGTCAAGAATTGTAACAAATCCAAGTGTCTATCAAGAGATGAACAGGTGACAAATTGGGATACATAGAATGGTACATTATTTAATTGTAAAAACTGAAAGAAATTCTGCCATTTATGACAATTCTGGAGAATCTGGAAGACATTGTGCTAAGTAAACTAAAAAAAATGAACAAGAAAAAATAGTGTATGAGTCCATTTATGCATTAACTCTCTAAATAGTCAAATCAGTACATTGAAAGGTGCGCTCATGCTAGACAAGCAAACACTAAAGACCAGCTGTATGGCCTCATATCTATAATTACAATGGTGGATTATGCATTTCCAAATTTGTTATCAAATAAATGCCATGTTAAATAGTCTAACTACAAAATTTAAAAATATCTATCAACTATTATATATGTACAATTTTTCTTTTGTGTAAATTTTGGATTATAAGCTACCATCATCATAAAAATAATTGTAGAGAATCCATTCTTCATCAAAAAATTATTTTCAAATTTTCATAATAACTTGTGTCAAATATATACAGTAGCATCTTTTTACTAAAATCCCTGCATTGTGGATTTAATTACAGTACAATTTTTAAATAAAGAAGGTAAGACAGAGAGCAGTTACTTAACATGCCACAAATTATCCCCTTGGAATATAATAATCAGTTTCTTACTTTAGGCTGTCCAGTGGAAGACCGTGTTTGTCCACCCTGCTGTTAGCAGCAGTCTGGTATAGAATTGAATCATCAGCATTGATCACTACAGCCTTTCAACTTTGTGACGGCCAGGGAAACAGTCAGCAATCAACCGGTGTGGGAAAGCATTTTTTATTAGAACTCACGCTATAGAATTTACTACTAACAGAAAAGTCACCACTGACCTTTGAATCAGAATATTCATATCCTCCCCACAATATTATTCCTGCTGCCCCCAATGCAGCGCTTTCGCCAATTGTATGAACTAGGTCTTCCTACAAAAGAGAAGGACCACAAGAGAGTTCTGTCAAGTCATGTTAGGCATTGCTTATTCATTAATATGTTTTTGTTTATAAAGAAAACCGTTATAGAAGAACTGGAAAGGGTGATTTGGGCAGTTTATCTGATAATAGTCCAGTGTTCCAAGAAACACTCTAAATAATGAAGCTATAAAAGCAAATAGGTTCCAGTCCCTGCTCTGGAGTTCTGTAGAATGTGTTTAAGGTAGACATATATACAAGTAATGAGAATACAGTGAAATGATGTCCATCTTTGCAGCCCCCACACAGTGTATATTGATTAAAGGAACCATGGCACATTCTGAGGTTTCTTTGAACAGAGGATATTTTAGGTAGGTCTTTGAGAATGAGAATGTTTTCATAAGGCGTAGTACAGAGAGTAGAGTTGGTTTCCTGCTCAAAGGGAAAACAAAAAGCAGAGGCTCATTCAATTAAGAATGCAGTAACCTAAAGAGCTGCTCCATATGATAAAGCACACAGGATTTGGAAGAAAAGTAAAAATATACAAGTCCTTTTCTATAAACAGAACCATGCCCAGAGAAAATCATCTATTTATGAGTATTGAGATAGTGCTGTTCCCAAAGACCATTGCGTATTAAACAAAAACCAAGAAGACAGAAATGGGGTGCGTCATTATGTGTTGTCAGGAAGTTCCCAGAGCCTTGAAACATGGGCTCTTGCCTTTCCTCTTAGTTGCCCTGCTACCTGATGACACCTCAGAGGTGAACACACCACATACCTTGCTTGTAAGACATAGAGAAATAAAACCAAGATGAACTAGAAGTTCATGATGGTTAGATTTTTGAGTACCAGAAGGTGATAGGCAGGCTGCTAGGGAAGAAAGGGTGTTAGTGATCTCACTCAGCTGTGAATCCTACAAACTATGAGATCAACATTCCAGACAAGATGTGCCCACTGTTTTTACGGGGATAACCTCCTGATTTGTCTGGTTTGGGTTTGAGGCTTGCTCCACAGGAGAGAATCCATGCATGTTGCCATAAACCTAGTCATAAACCAACATCTCTCTAACTAGAATTAAGACCTGCTTAAAAGCGCAAAAGAGGGAGGTCATGACTGGTCCTGGAAACAAGCTAACTATTCATGCTAGTGAAGACATAGTTAGTGGAGGAGGGTCTACAACCAACATTTACTAAACCAGCATAATCTCTAGCAACATTCAATAAACACTTGTCTTTATATTCATGTACAAGTGCAATCTTCACCCTTTATCAAGGGAACTTCTTTTCTCAACAGAGAACTTTACAGCAACCACACCCAACCAAAATGCAGATATGGAGCTAGTTCCAATAAATACATCCACAAAACATTCCTGCACCTAAGGCTCAGAGAACACTGTGGCAGAAAGAGTCAAAAGATTTTAAGAACCATAGGGTCAAGGAGTTTACTGTAAGATTGCATCTTTAAAAACCCTTGGTGAGGGAAGTCAGACTATATGATGGAATTGAATACTATTAGACAAAAGTGTCTCATGTCAATCTGCCTTTTGGGTATTTATGCTTATGTTCACAGACAAATGCTACTCTTGGCCTTAAAAGAGAATCTTTTCTTCTCAGTTAAAGGCTTCATGTATGCAGATTCATGGCTGCACAAGGTGCTGAGAAGTGATAGTTAAGTACTCAGATCTCAAAGTAACAGTTAGCCCACCCTCTCGAAAGTTTTAGATAGATAGAAATGTGGACAAAAGCTGAAAAAGTCTCTTTAAAGCATGACACAGTCGTTTCAAACATGATGCCAAAGCAGCTGCCGTTGCTTTCACTGGATCAACACAAGAATGGACCTGTCAACATTGGATCGTGGATTGGAGGAGCTTATGGGACCCTACCCTCCTTGCCATTCTATTGGCTATTGGGAGACTCTAGCAGAGTCTGTCCTTGTCTCCAGTTGTATATCCAGTGTGAGACCACCAGGTACCAATGGATACTTCCAAACACACAATCACATGGACAACCCTTGTGAAAAATAAGATCACAAAGCAAAATATAAAGACATAAATATGGGAGAGTTGTAGAAGGGGAAGGTCACTGAAGTGGGAGGAAATAGGAGAGGGGAGGGAATGAAAGGTGTCAAAATGCATTATTTAGTGCATAAAGTTGTCAAAGAACAAATGTTATCAATAAAAGTCTAGCCCACAAGTACTTATTCTTGGAAAGATAAAAAATGTGCAACTTTAGTAAGACACAATTTTCCAGCCATGTAAAGAAAGCATAGGATAGAAACATCAAGATATTAGGGATCAAAGATAGCTAAGGAAGATGAAAATTATTTGGGGAAAATTATAAAGGCCCAACAAATGCAGTGTCTGTACAGAAATTAAAGAAGAGGGAACCTATTAGAGAGTCGTTTCTAATTCAGATATTTAATTCTTCATTGCCTGTGTTGTATAATGGAAAGAAAAGAAATGAGTTGCTCAAGTGACTCTCAGGTTGGGTGACTGAGTGGATTGGATATTGAGGAGGGGGTTATGTTCAGGATTCTAGACCAAAAACAAAGAAATGAGAAGCAGAGTGATAGGTGAGGGAGAATGAACAACAGAGGAAATGCTCTAAAGTTTTGCTCCCCCAGGATGTATTGGAGATCCTTTGAAAGACTGGAGCACTCGAAGACCAGATAGGCAAATTCCACACCACAACCAAGTTTTCCTGCATTGTAGTGAAACTCCAATCACACAAATTGAGTTTCTCTTATTGGAAATGCTTGGGACCAGAATCACTTCAAATTTCTGACTTTTTCAGATTTTAGACAATCTAGATATACAGAATAAAATATTGCAATGTGAAATCCAAATATAAGTTCATTTTCATGTTTTATAGAGATCTCATACAAAATGCAAAAAGATAATTTTATACAACAAATGTTTTTAGTGTATCTCTCCATGTTTTCACCATGACCAGTTACCTGAGGTCAGGTGTAGAATGTTCCTTTTGTTGTAGCAGGTCAGTGTGCAAACAGTTTTGTATTTTATAGCATTTAGGTTTGGATATTTCTGCTTAGGGATGTTTCTGCTAATTCTTGTGATCTGTAACTTTTCTAAGTAATACAAGTAAGGCACTCATTCTTCTGCTACATAAATAATAGTACCACATCCCTTAAACGTAAGGCTAGTCCTTTGCTGAGACATATTTGAAAGAACCATCAAAAATCAATTGCTTAGAAACAAATTTGATTTGGAAAGTTATGTTTCTTAGACAATAAGTGAAAATAATCCATATTGTTGGTTGATTTGTGGTGCATACAATCAATAGGAAAGCATTAAACTTATAAATAATAGTTTTTAAGATATCATATACTTTTAATGAGTAGAGTACATGATTTATTGGCTTGTGAAATAGAGTTCAGAGGGAATAGGTACTAATTTACATTTAAAGGCTGCAAGTAGGTTCTGGAGAAATGCTTCAGCACTTTAGAATACATGCAGCCCTCACTGAGGACCTGAGTTTGATTCCCGGCACCTCTATGCCAGGCAGTTCACAACTGCCTGTATCTCCAGCCAAAAACCTTCTTCTGGAATCCTTGAGAACATGTACTCATATAGACATTTCACACACACACACACACACACACACACACACACACACACACACAAGATTAAAAGTAAAAAATTAATCTTTTTTAAAAACAGAAGAGTAGATAAAAGTGGTAAAAGTACGAGTTGGAATCTCATAAATATACACATGTACTCAACTCATCATTTACTGTTAAGATGAACCTTCTAGCTTCTTGGATTATTAGTTTTACTGTTGGTATTAATAATAGTATTCCTGTTTCTTGGTAAGCTTAAATAAATAATTTAGAATAAGTAACTATAGCCTAGTCTTTTATAAATTAGTTTCTTGAAATTTCCATACCATTTTATGCAATGTGTTTTGATTAAATTCACTTCCCTCTCCCAACTACAACCAGATCCATTCATCTTCCCTCCCACTCAACTTTGTGTCCTCCTGTTTTTTGCTCTTAAAGTCCAATTTGTGCTGCCTTTATACTCTTGGATGCGTGGCGATCAAGTGGATCATGGTTAACCTGGTAGGTGTTGTACTCCTAGAGAAAACTGACTTCCTTTCTGCCAACAGCTATCAGTTACCAACAGTTCCTCATTCCAGGGTTAGACTTTGTGCCCACCTCCTCTCTGCATGCTGGAAGTTTGCTTGGCTTGAGCTTATGCAGGTCATGGACATACTGCCACAATCTCTCTGATTAATGCAACACCGCTGGCTCTTACTGCCTTCCTGTCCACTCTTCTGCCAGGATCCCTGAACCTGAGGATGAGTGGGTGTAATATAGACTGAGCATTCCATGGTCTTTTATTATTCTCGGTACTTTGGACAGTTGTGGGGTCTCTGTGTTAATCACTATCTACTGCAAAAAAAGAAGCTTGCCTGATAAGGGTTGAGAGATACACTAACCTATGGGTGTAACAATGAGCTAGTAGGAGTCAGTTTAATGCTGTGCCCATTAAGCAGAATAGTAGCCATAGTTCGTTGCTAAGGCCTATTACCCATCTAGCCAAAGGTTTTTGAGGCCAATATTAGTGCCAGACTTAGGTTTCATCTTGTGAAATGGCCCTTAAGTTCAATCAGAAAGCAGTTGGCTACCCATGACATTGGTGCTATTAGTGCACAAATGGACTTGCTTGACACACTGGTAGTCACTGTAGCTCAAGGAATCTTTTGCCAAAAGAATTTTGGGGAAAATGGTTTTTAAGAGATCTACCAGTTGAGGAATAACAGTTCAGTGAAAAGACCTTGGTAAAAAAAAAAATGACAAGATCTTAAAGTATTCAGAGAAGTGGCTTTTAAAATGGAACTCATCATTATTAGGAGTGTGTGTGTGTGTGTGTGTGTTTATGTGTATAAAGATACGCATGTGCTACAGTGCAAATGTGGAGATCAAAGGACAATTTGCTTAAGTTGGTTCTTTCCTTCCACTGTGGGTTATCAAACTCACAATGTCAGGTCTGCAATGCAAGAAATTTTACCTCCTCATCATTCCAACACAGACCCAGAACTGGCTTTTGAAATAAAGACTTAATCTATGCTGCACTCGAAATAGCATCAGAACTGACAGTACAAAGTTATCCAGAGGAAAAGTAACTAACTCTGCATGCTCAAGAACTTCCTAAGAATTAATATTGTCCTAAAATGTAGTTTTCCTTCTAGTACAGAGTAGTTCATCAAAAAAGCTAAAGCAGAGGCCAGACAAAAGTGAATCCATGTTTGAGTGAGAAGTCGATTATATACTGCTGAGACTCCACCAACACTTTTGCCATTTTGCCCTGAACTTACTGAATGAATTTTGAATGATATTAATAATCTTTTGATGATAAAACTATATAGTCTAATGAATAATGTATAATAAATACTGTATTAACAGGTTTTACTCAGAAATAATTAGGAAGAGTTGTTACTGCATTTAAATGCACCTACTCTAACATAAGTGGTCTAAGGAAGCCAGCTCTAAAAGTCTTACGTCTGTGTTAGTCATTGAAATAATGGAGTTGTTGGCACTCAGATAGGGGTAGTAATTTTCTCCTGTACCCATCTGCCTAATGGTTGAGTCCATGCAGTAATGTTCTAAGTGACAAGCTAGCTAATGTTTAAGCACCTCTAGAATCTGCAAATTCATTATTTCCCAAGCAAGTTTCACCACATATTTCCATGCTTCATACTTGGTGTTAAAGATGACGCTTAACTCTACCCTGGCTTCATTTCCCACTGCTATAATAAAACACCCCAACAACCAACTTGTGAAAAAAAGTGTTGATTTTTAGTTCACAATTTGAGGTTACAGCCCATCATTGGCAGGAAGTCAAGGCAGCAAGAATGTCAAGCAGCCATGCAAATCCAAACAAAAGCAGAGAAAGAATGGGTGCCTGCTTGCTTCCTACTTCCCGGCTCACTTCTTCCTCTTTTGTACAGTCCGGGGGTCGAATCCAGAAAATGCTTTTAGCCTGGGTCTTCCCATGTCAACTAGCAGATTCAAGACATTTCCCACACAGTTATATCTACAGGGCAACCCAACCTAAACAATTCATCACTAAAGAATCTCTTCCTAGTTGATTCCAAATTGTGTCAAGTTGATTATAACTAGTTATCAAAATATCTATTTATATAAACTACTCAATCCATTAGCTCTAACTAATCCCAAATCTCTGTTTTATCTATTTCCAATCTGGAAAATCACTAGAACCCTTATGAGAAACTCTTCTGAATTCTAAATGAGTTTTTTTTAACTTCTAAAATTCTAGATGCACGTCTAATTAGCAGTTGGTTGGAATTTCCAAGTTGTGTTATCTCCTTTAATATTGGAATAGCATTTTAATTAAGATTAAATAAGCCACCAAGATTTCTTTCTAGGCTTTACATATATTCTATTAATCTTATATTGCTTTCATGGGACTATTTTTTCTTACCTCTGACAGAGCTTCAATACTGTGCAAATAAAATGGTCTGGAAAAAATAAAAACTGGCAAAGCGTAGTCTTTTCTAGACATTTCCGCAACTCTCAGGGCTTCTCTCACTCGGAAATGAACAAATTTCAGTGCATTTAAGCTCGATTTTAACACTTTATTCAAATATATCGAAGAATAAAGGGCTGTGCTTTTCTCCCACAGCCACAAGAGTTGGTCATTGCGGAAAATTTCATCATCTGGGCAACTACCTGTGTAGAAGTCTGGATTTATCCGGTAGTCATAATTGTAGCAGTCTGGGTAGAGATAGAAGCCCCATAAACACTTTGGTCTCATTTCTAAAGCCAACGTGAGAGTAACGTTCATAAGACTCCTCCCAGCATTTTCAAATTCCTGTGTGGCAACTGCTCTCACTTTCGCTTCTGGCCAGGCAGGATGGTGGTGTCGGGTGAAAGCTAACGAGTGCTTCTGGTACACTATCCTGCTGCCCCAGTTCCGATCCCACTGGGGCTTCCAACCTTCCCAGTCAATCACAGCGAGTCCTTCTGATCTCCACCAAGTGACAGAGTCTGCAATGTCACCGGCGCTTTTCTTTAGGTGCTCAGAGAGGTTCACCCTCTGAGGGATTCCACCATGGAAGGATTTTCCGTCTTCAGAGAAATAAGGGTAATAGCCAAGTTCGTGTGGATAAAATATGGCAATTGTAGATCCACTCTGGGTTTCTAATGGATTGGAAATGATGTCAAATTCTTGAAGATTCATATTTACATCAAAATGATCCTTACAAAACAAAGTAGGAGCAGCCCAAAAGATGTTGAAAGGCTGGTTCTTGATCACCGGAGGCATTGCTGGTTTGAGAACTGCCTGGGTGACCAGAACACAGAGCAGAAGTTCGCCAAGCTGTGCCACCCACAGACTACACATGGGTTGTTGTCTTCAGCATAATGAAACTGTACTAAAAGCAAGAACAAATATTTAGATGAAGGACTCAAATGCCTGATGAGTTTCATAGTGTAGATTAAATAAATTGTGTTATCTTCTTTAATATTAGAATAACATCTTAACTAGAAATAACCCCTAAAGATTTATTTCTAGACTTTACATATATTCTATTAATTAAGGCTTAAGAGGTTTATTAACATCCTTGTTTGTGATGTTATCTCGACAAAAGAAGAAAAATGAAACTTTTTTTCCCTCCTTGAGATATTGAGAGAAATTTAATGAATAAGGGCTAGAAATTTAATTCAAATCTTCATCTTCATAAACTCTGTGCTCATCTATGTAAGCCTACTATTTTTCCTGGATTTAATTTCCCATAACTCTTGAGTACATAACCTGAACCATCATACACCAGCAGCCTTTGGGGTGAGGTCAATTAGAAAAGAGCATCTTAAGGAACTGTTACATTTTCCTATTAATTATTAGAAAAGGGACTCTAAGGACATGTGCAATTGGAAATTAGCAAACATTGGCACTTCAGCAAATATTATATAGGACAAAAAATAAATAATTAACAAACAGTACCTCTATGGAATTTGAAGTGTACTGACCTCGAGGGTTTGTTTATTTCCAAATCACAAAAGAGTTTCCACTGAAATAACATAATACGGCCCAGAAGCTAGAGGTGATAGTTACCTGTTGTTGATTGTAAAGTTGACTAACACTTTTTCTTAGGCACATAAATCAACCTTTAAAACTATTATTTCCTTAAGCCATCATTCTCCTGTGGAAGAATGAGGCCATATTCTCAGTAGCTAAACTGCAGGTAAAACTTGACTTTTAGTCACATGTTGTCAGTTAAGACAAAAAACTGCCACAGAATCTTGCCAGAACACAGGAACTAACAGGTGATGCATTCCAGCCAATCAGATCTGACCTTGAAAGCAATATGGCTGAAGCTGAAGAGCAAAGTTAGTTTGTTATGTAGTGTACAATAAGGTGGTGTGCTGGTCAGGTTAGGCCGTCAACTTGACACAGTCTAGAATCTTTTGGTAAGAGAGTCTCTAATTACAGATTAAGTAAATGAAAGTTAACCAGTGGGTGTGTCTATGAAGTTTCTTTTGTAGAAGATTTTAACCTCCTTTTCTGTGTATATAAAGTAGTAGGGACTCTGTCTTTGTCACTGACCTGGAGACAATTCACTATTTTAACATTCTTTTTGTACCCCCAGCACACATTTTTATAACAAACTTTTAGTATAGTAAAATATATATATAATATATATGTGTGTATATATTATAGATATCATGAGGTTTTTAATGGAATGAAATCTTTCCAATGACTTTTCTTTCAAGCCATTTTTGTTATTCAAAGCATAAAACCCAGTTTGTTTTTTTACCATTTATAACACATGCATGCACTTGAATTTATTAGCATCTGATATGTTTTAAATAGTGTATTCTGTCAGAATATGCTATAACAAGACCAATATAACCCTATATATTGCAAAAATGATACAGATTCAGAGAGAGAGAAGAGGAGAAAGAGACAGAGAAGGGTGGAAGCAGAGAAGTGGGGAGCGAGGCACAAGCGAAGCTGCCTCTCTGAAAAGGAAGGCAGAAAGCAGAGTGGGCTCAGGCCAGAAGCCGAAGATCAGCCTGCCTCAGGGCATGGGGGAGGGAGTGGGCGTGGCTTGTCTCTTAAAGAAACAGAACAACCATTACAAATACAAGTAGATGGTATATCATCAAACTTGAAAAATAAACATATCTATAACTCCATATTATATACATACAAATATTTATAAATAAACCTTTGGTAAAAATAGATGCCTAAGAAATATAACATTAAGGTCATTGCCAGTGAGGTTCAGAAATTCAAACCTAAATTCTTTCCAAAGCAACCATTAATTAGCCTGTAGCTAAGTTTTCCTGGAAGGTAAATGAATAAGAATATACGTACAAGATTATGTCATTATTGCTGTTAAGGTAATAATTCTGAAGTCATTAGTTGCAGTGGTCGATGTATTTGACAGAAGCATTTAACTCTTGTTTATTATCTAAACCAAAGAAAATTTAGGCAATAATGATCATTGCCTAAATAATATTGGTAAAAGTAGAAGAAATAATATTGATTAAAGTAGTGTTTTCTCTTTCTTCTCCATGTAATATGTAGCACAACTCATGGGATTTTTTTTTTGCTAAATATTCTATATAAAGAAATGTTATATGTTAAGTTATATGTCAGAAAGTGTTATTTTTTCCTTCCATAAATATGATCATTGAGCCAGGTAGTGGTGGCACATGCCAATAATCTCTGTAAGTTCAAGGCCAACCTTGTCCACAGAGTTCCAGGACACATTCCAAAGCTACAGACACCCTGTTGAAATTATTCAGCCACAGATAAGTCTACACTTCTGGGTTCTAAAGGTGAGTACATGCAGACGGGCCCTCAGGTGAGATGCCCCCCCCCCATGTGCTTACATGCATGCGTGCATGGTTATATCCATGTATGATTCAGCTAAATCCTTGTGTGCATGTGTGAGTTGACTGTTATCTGCATCATCGGTGTGTGACATAATCATGCCAACCCCCTGTGCGCATGTGCTAGGCATCTTTAAAAACTGAACGTGCCATCTCCCTCCCTCCCTCTCTCTCTCTGCACACTGATCCCAAGGCCTGTAAGCAGCCCCTCTAATAAACTCCTAAGTGGTTTTGTTGCATGTTCCATGTTTCCTTCTCACTAACACCAGGTAATTTCATTGTTGCTAAGACTCGAGAGGTGCTGCCAGGAGCAATTGTGTCTCACTTCAACAGAACCCTAAGTTATTTAAATGCCATTTTCTACAGCTATTTGAAGTGGTTGAAGATTATCTATCTATGCAGAATATAATCTCAATGTATCTAAAGAACCTGATTAGTTTAACTATAAGTAAGACAAACATAGATGACTATTGATATAATTCTTAATACCTATATAACTAATGCCCCCAGGGATATTAAAGGGCCCCCAAGTGATTCATGTACATGTGTAGTTGCATCATCCACATATGACTCAGCTTAGCCCTTGTGCGCATGTATGAGCCCCATCATCAGCACATGACATATCATCTCAACCCCCTGTACACATGTGCTAAGCAGCTTTTAAAAGCTGGACTCTCTCTCTCTCTCTCTCTCTCTCTCTCTCTCTCTGTCTGTCTGCACACTGACTTCCCGAGACCTGTACATGCTCCCTCTAATAAACCCCTAAATGGTTTTAAAAAAAATGATACAGATTCTTACAAATACAAAATTATAAGACAAGAAGAAAAATACTTATCACCTTGGGCATAAAAATACCTCCCTATGTACAGTATCAAAGACAGAGTTTATGAAAGAAATCATCGATAAATAGCATCATTCAAGTAATTTGAAGCTGATCTTAAAGAGTACAAAAAGGCAGTGGTGAGCTGACAGCTCAGCAGGTAAAGCACACGTTATGTTATGTATGAGTGCTTTCACTGCCTGTATATTTGTGCACCATGTGCATTCCTGATGCCCTTGGAGGTCTGAAGAGGGTTTCATATCCGCTGAGGCCAGTGTTACAGGTCTACAGGTCATTGGAGTGGAAATCAAACTCAGAACCTCTAGGAAGGCAGCCAATACTCTTAACCACTGAGCAGTCTCTCTCTCTCTCTACACACACACACACACACACACACGCACATCCCAAGTAAGTTATGTGTTTATCTTACAAGCATGATAGCCGGAGTTCAATCCCTCTCTCCAAAACGCTTGGTTAAGAGGGATTTTCTTGTAATTCCAGCCTGAAAGAGACAGAGACAAACAGATCCCTGAGCCTCTCTAGACAAACAGCCTTGCCTGCTTGTTCTACACCAGTAGGATACCCTGATTCAAAAACTGTGCACATGCGGAACAATGTTTGAGACTGTTCCCAGCCTCCACTCATTCACAGATGTGTGTGCGCAGGTACAGCACACTCTGATGGAGATGAGCCATCAGCAATCCGGAAAGTCAGTGTTTATTCTGTACAGCACAGATGAGCAACTCGGGTTGCAGGTATCCCTAGCAGGAAGTCGCTGGTTTCAACCGGAGGTGAACTATTGACAAGCTTCTGTACCCAGACCAGGAAAAGGCTTTGCCATTCCTCGGAGCCTGACCCAGGAAAGCCTTTGCCATCATCTCCACTGACATAGCCGTGCTGATGTCAATAATCCAGACTCACTAAGGACTTCATCTGCTCCCCACACAGAGTAGTTATTTCTCCCTCCTTAGCAGTAAGTCTTGAGACTGTCTTCCAGGAAGATATCTTTTATATGTTGTGAAACTATAATAAATTACAGAGGTAGGGTTAAGTTTGAGATGGCATTCAGATTCACAACTTTAAACAAATAAATGTTTGTATCTATCTGAATGAACACTTAGTGTATTCCAGGCAAAGACAAAGTTTTCTCTTGAAGAGGATTTTGTTTCCACAGAACTTGGATCTCAGCTGAAGACATCAAGGAGTAACAGAATTTTTTATCTGAAGCTCTCTTATGGTTTTGATTTTTAGAGAGATGGGGGTGGAAAGTTCATAGAAAAGGAAAAAGAAATGAGAAATTAATAAAAAACAGAATGGATCCAATAAACTATAGTGCTTAATGTTAACCCATATCTCCAATTTTTGATAGAATAAAAAGTAAAAATCAATTCAGATTTAATTAAGTTTTCATACTAAAAGAAAAGAAGTGACAGATTTTCAGAAAGGAATACTGGGATTTTGCCTTTGTCTGGCTTAGTTTTTTCTGTTTTCCTTCCTACTTTGTAACCACAATACACATTTCACAGATACAGTAACATTATAGTTTATGGTTCTACTTATCCCTTTTCCTTTGAAGATATAAAATTGGAAAAGGAAAATAAAACAATCACTTTTAGATGTTATTTGTATACAAAAACGCAAAGTAATCAGAATTATATGAAATAATAGGCTAGTTCAACAGGGATCTGTGTGTAAAACTAATGAAGGAAAGTCAGATGTCTTGGTAGCCACCAACATGCCTAGAAAGGAAACACAGTAAGCAAAATATGAAAAACTTGTGCAAGATTCCTATAGATGACATTCACTAATCTTTATTAAAATGGAATTCTGGTTTCTCCCCTGTCTTCTATTCTTTTACCACACTGTCCTGTCTTTATTTTTTTTAATTTTTTTGTTTGTTTTTTGTTTTTCGAGACAGGGTTTCTCTGTATCTTTGGAGCCTGTCCTGGAACTAGTTCTTGTAGACCAGACTGGCCTGGAACACACAGAGAACCACCTGCCTCTCCCTCCTGAGTCCTGGGATTAAAGTTTCCGGCACCCACCACCCTGCCCGGCTACAATGTTTCTATTTTTCAGAAGAGCCAGGGGAGGAAGACTGAAGGTTAAGGAGGGAATTTTAAGGGATCCTACTAAACTGACTCCATCCCCACTGATAGAAGTGAAAGTAAATCTCATGAATAACCTGTGAAATCATTGTGCATTAGAAAGAAAACATTCAAAGTCCCTCAAAAGAATTCACTGAGAAAGAGAATATAAAGTTCACTTGTAGATCAGATTTATAGACAGGGAGTCCTGGAGTCAACACAATTCAAGAAGCATTTGCTGGCAGAGTTTGTTTCGTTCACGTCACTGTGGTTAGCACCAAAACTATACAGGCAGCATTATCTCATTGAGCTTCACGGTCTGTTGTGTGGGGGTGTATGCATGTACACACTAGATGTTTATGTCTGTGTCTAGAACAGCAGCAGTGAAGCAGAGAACTATGTACCCTACCTAGGATACCTATAAGGATTGAATACATTCTTTTCTTTAAAA